TTAGCGAACCCAGTTTGGACTTTTCTCCCATTTGGATCCCCATTATCAGCAATGAAGTCGCCAATTCACATAGAAGATCTGTATGACGAGATATATGCTTATATTCATTTCTATTAAGTTCTAAATTAGATAGACGTGATTTACTCCATTGTTGACAGTAGTTAGACACTATTAGTTTTTGTTACTAGTTATTCTTTCTATTCCATGCCGTGGGGTCATGGACCTGGTTATGAGTTTGGTTTCGTGGCATAAATTTCTACAGATCTATCTATCCTGGTTCCACGCTTGTATGTGTTTGCTACAATTTGTTATGAAAAAAATTTTTCTTATTAGCTCTCATGGACTTAGCCTGGTCTCAGGTGTTTATAATCTTCATGTTGTGTGACACTGGTTTGTCTAGTGATTGAGTCTAGCTCTTTCTAACGGACCCAACAGAATAGGTGTTCCCCTTTTCCTTCACCAGAGGACGGAAACAGATCCAGTTTCCGAAACGTCTTTTTTTTGTTATCTTAAAAACTAGGACGATGGATAAAGTCCAGAAACCCAATATATCAATACTGGTTTAATACTTTACTCACTAGATGGCAGGGGGTATGATGGCTAATGTAAATGCAATTTGTGTGTACAAAATTATGAAACTGTATTAATATTCTGCACCACTTCTACTAGGAATTGCTTAGAAATAATACTTTCCTAATAACTTTACCTTATTCTGCAGCATTTATTCATTCTTATTTACTCGTATATTAAAAATTCTGCTTGTTAAAGCTATGCAAACTTCTGTAAGCCTCTGAATTCTTTCCTGAGAACTTAATATAACAGGCGTTTAGTTTTTTCCTCAACAATTCAATATGACGTGTGATTTCTCAGTGTCCACCTAGGGAAATTATTACTACTAGCATTTATTTGCCTATTGCGAAAGTTCTTTTTAATTGCTCTGAGTTACATATATTGAGCTCATTTGTCCTTCTGCTCAACCATTACTATGTAGTCAAAATTGCGCATGACAGAGATGCATAGCCTTTACAAATACAAACAGACTGTAGAAATAAAAAAAATATTAGCAAGAATATCTCTTACGCGAAACAGTGTTCAAATGACACTAATGATATTAACCATGAACTGATATTAACAATAGAGAGGTTTACTACTGCTGCTCTCTTCTTGCTACAGCAAGTACTATTACTGAAGAGAGGGTACATCTTCTTTGGTGCAACTATCATATTACAATATGTGGAATTCATATCACAATGAAGTGAATCCTCCAGTTAGTATTAAATTATTCTCCACTTTAGTAAGAAATACAATGATTTATATTTGTCCCAAGGAAACCTAGTTTTTCAATAATTGTTTGTACCTGAGGAATGTTTAAGGAAGAAAAAAACTATTATTCTTTACTTGTTATTTCTCTTCCTGTCACCTGCAGTTCTATCATAGAAATCATCACAAGGGTTTAAAAATATTAGCATTCATTTCAGGTCAAAAAATTGTTATTATTAATGTTGTAATTTTATACATGACTCATCATGTACATTCATTTAATTAATGTAACAACAGTACAATATCCATTACAGAAACAGTAAATTACTAAAATTAGGAATTATGTTGATTTGGTTGAATAAAAAATAACAAAATTTATTTGCAGTCTATAAAAATTTCACAGCTCTAAGGAAAGAATGTAGAGCAAGTGTTGAAATAAATTCTTGTTTCCAAAACAAATATATATATATATATTTCTCAGATAACACAGCATTATACTTAAGTACAAGTATCCTATGTTATATGTGAATCCATAAAAGTGATTTCATTTTAATCCAACTGACTAATTTTGACAGGATTCAATTAAAAACATCCACTGCAATACAAATTGTTTATTGATCGATTAAAAGTTGGGGGAGTAGAAGGAGAGTAGAGTACTGCATGGAAAGCGTTGAAGGAACGCTGAAGGAGAAGGGAGAATTTGATATAGCCAGGCAATCTCTTCCATCTCTTCTGCGCATCTATTGTTATATAAGAAATCAGCGGCTAGGAGCAACTAAAGATGAATGATTGACATACTGGTGTGATGGGGACGCTATTGCAGCAATAAACTTCGAGCAGCCCACCACTGGGCATCTAACTGCGCACCTCCCTCATTACTTGGGTAGCACTTGGGGAGATTGAGCAATGTTAGGTTTAGGTTAGATTATGTTAGGTTAGGGCAACATACCACTACACATTCAAACTTCTCACCTCCCTCAACGCTGAGCTCGCACTTGGTGAGACTGAGCAGCGTTAAGTTGCTAAGTAATATTAGGTTCACGTAACACAACTGCGCATTAAACTGCGCACCTCCTTCCTCAATGGAAAACACTTGGCGAAACTGAGCAATATTAGGTTAAAATAGGTCAGGGCACCACGCCACTGCGCATCCACTAATTCTTACTGGTCATCAAGTCATATCCATCAGAGCATGGAACTGAACCTTGTCATTTTGTTGAGTTTACAAATGATTGACACCCTGAAAATTTCTACTCAGATAATCAAATATTTCCAAAATTCAGAAAAAATGAAGCCCTAATGCCACAAGCTTTCGATTCCCCAAGATTTCAAAATTTGGGTGGATTTCGTATACTTTGTTTTTGTGAATTTTTAACGATTTCGATTTTCGGAGTAAATAAATTTTGAAACGCATAATATATGGGAAGTATTTGAATATTCCATTACTAAGATACTAAGATTACTAAGCTCTCACAGATGGATTAAGTTGTGCTTCTTTTATGAATCCCTTCGGAAATTGGCATAGTTGTCCGGAGATAGGGGCTAGCTCTGTCTATTGGACCCAACTGAGTAGGTTTTACCTGAAGACGGGGACAGATTCCAGTTCTCGAAACGTTGTGTTTTTTAATAGAAAGTAGATTGTTTTTTAGAATAGACAAGATGATGGATAATGTCCAGCAAAATAATAATTGTAATAAGATACCTTTATTTTACAAGGTATAATCGAGCTCACTGAAATGTCCAAAATTCCGCCAACTCGTATGTGTGTGCGTGTGCGTGTCTGTGTGTGTGTGTGTGTGTGTATGCTCGAGTGCCAATTCTTCCCAGTCAATTCATAAATTTTAAACCTAAGAATGGAATTCATGGATTTCATGTAACATGTGTTTAGCATAAGTTAAAGTTTCTTACGAATACCTGAATGAATAGGATATATTGTCGGTGACGGTAGGGGTAAATTTTGTGGTGAAATGTGTGTTTGGCGACATTGAAAGTGACAATCGAAAGTTATTCGTATGTGTGATAGCAAGGAAAGTCGTGGTTACAGAATGCTTGATAACAGGTGATGTTAGGAATATTAGGTATACGTTGAAGTGTGATTTAAACTATTATGATTGTACTTGCACCGATACTGTGTTCAATTTGCTAGTCTGCCCAGAATATACAGATTTTATCTGTTACTGCTGTAGGTTATGTTAATGTACTTTTCTTAGATATCTAATCAGAGGTGTTGAAATATTAGAGTGAATCTTGTCATGATTCTTTCTGAAATTGTACGGTGGAAATGGAAAACAACAACAAGGAGTCTTTTAAACTTCTGGGTGTGTCAGCATCTGGTACGGACTCGCCATCAGACGTTCCAGAAATCGTGTTGGCACCACCAAGAAAGAAGAGAATTAAGAGGTTAGTCTGTACTAGCATTTGTAAATAGTTTTAGGAACATATGCAAGTAGCTTTAAAGTGCACTTTCTTAGACTTTTGCTTCCCATTCACATGAAACCGTCTCCATTTGGCAGAACAGACATTTGATAGTATTGGCGACCCATAACAGAATTGAACAACAAAACTCCAGTTTCATCAACACTAAACATTAGGTATTATCACTTTACAAAGAGGGCTTATTACACTTTCCACAATCCATGTTCCTTAAGAGTAACTTTTTTTCATCTCATCACTGCATTGTTCAGCTACTCCATTAGCCTGTCATATTGCTAGTTTAGCCAAAAATGTGATGAGATTAAAAAGGATTGCTTGTTAGCACTTCTTATCTTGACATTTTACATTACTGCTCATTACTATGTTACTGTTATGTTTTTGTGTTTTTGCCTATAAATACAGAGCAGAGGGACTGGTTTGTTTACATGAGGAAAATAATTACTGAGGGTGATTAAATCATAAAATTTGCAATATTACTGCATATCTTTCTAGCCTAAGAAGTATGGTGTGTTTATTAATTTGCTTGGTGTTAATATCTATTGTTAATTATTTAGTAATATTTTTATGTATGTGAAATGTCATCTGGTTGGGAACTAATACTCTGTTCTGTGTGTGTACATATTTTGAGTGTCACATTATATTCTGTTGGAACTTGAAATATCAAACTTCTTATGACTTCATCCTGATGGTAATACTCTGTTCTGTGTGTGTACATATTTTGAGTGTCACATTATATTCTGTTGGAACTTGAAATATCAAACTTCTTATGACTTCATCCTGATGGTAATACTCTGTTCTGTGTGTGTACATATTTTGAGTGTCACATTATATTCTGTTGGAACTTGAAATATCAAACTTCTTATGACTTCATCCTGATGGTTCTGTCTTACAAATTCTGCACCAGTAATTAAAGATTGGTCTCCAATACCCTTCGTTAGTTATAGTTTTGTTTCAATATCAGTAGACGTCTTCGAGGGAACTCTGCATCTCGAGGCAGGAAGACACAGTCGTGTAACTGCCAGGGTCGAATTATTGGGCTGTCCTTGGCTGCCGTATTACTCCTCTGTTGGCTAGTGACTGTTACATGGTTGGCAGTAGTTTTGCATGGAGAGCTGAAACGTCTCGATAATTATGTTCATTCTGGTAAGTAGAGAAAATATCTATGAATGTGGCGTTACAGTATTTTTTTATTGCTAGTGGGGTGAGACTAAGTCCTTGGTACTGCAGCTACTTCTGGCCTATTGTACCAGCCCCAGATAATAAATAGGTGAGGGTGATTGTGGAGCAAATGGTGGAATGAAGATTGGCAGGGGAAACCGAAGTACTCAGAGAAAACCTGCCCCAGCGCCACTTTGTCCACCACAAATCCCACTTTACCAGACCCTGGATCGAACCTGGGCTGCCCTGGTGGGAAGCCAGCGAACTACCAGTTGCACTAGAATGATTTGTTAAATTAACTTGTTGTTTATAGAGAAGTTAGGTAGATTAGAATGGTTTATAGTGTATCTGGGATTGGCTGCAAATTAAAGCAGAGTTCACTTGAAAATACTGTGTATGGTCATATATTTTAATGTTTGAAGCTGTGATGATACATATCCTGGTAAATACACAGAACAGTGAAAATGGAAGGGTATCCTGTCTGTGGTATTTTTACACATGAAATCAGGGATGCCATTAAAGAATTATGATTGTCATTTTTATATTATGTAGGAGGTCATATGTGGTAAGTCAGGGTTTTCATACTGTTCGTGATAATAAACGTAAAAGGGAAAGTTGTCCCTGTGCTTAACTAATTGAGCACTACACCTTGAAGGTGTATGGAGGAGTGGATGTATAGATCCATGTTTCTTAACTAATTAAGCACTACGCCTTGAAGGTGTATGGGGGAGTGGTGTATAGATCCACGTTTTCTTGACCTCGGCACTAGTTGGAGGTGAGTGATAATAAATGTACATGTTTTTATAGTAGAGTCAGGATAGCCCAGTCAGTACCACTGAGGGGCCCAACCAGCCTCCTATCCAATGGGTACTGGGGGCTCTTTACCCAGTGGGGGGGGGTAAAGCAGCAGGTGCGTGAAGCCAACTACTCGCCCCCATCTAGTGCAGAGATCAATATATCCATGAACCAAGAAAGGGAACTTAATTTTATAAGACACTTAAAATCTACTTGCAGTGTACTTCATACAAATATTTTCATAGAAGATTTATTGTCATTCATTGTGATTTAAGTGAGAAGTCTCATTTGTTATACAAGCTTCCATGCTGTCAATTTCACCTGCTTTCTCTTGTATTCCTTCCTATTCATACATGTTATGCAATGATGTGTCAAAACAATTAATGCCGTGTCCCACAGGTAAAATACACATTTAATCAATTATAAATGATCTCCTTTATGTAGTATACTATACTTCACATAACCTCATCAAAATATGCCCACAGAACAGACATGACATGTTGAAGCAAAAGACTGCTCTGTTGCCCATGATCAGCTACATATCTTATGTTCATGCAGTATGTTCACACTTGACAATTTATTGCTGTGGTAACCTGAAATTACATAATTTCGGAGCTTTCATCTCGCCATAACATTAATTTATATATATATATATATAGAGAGAGAGAGAGAGAGAGAGAGAGAGAGATTATTAGTTATTCAGAAGTCTGGCTGCCAGTTGTATAATACTAGGGGAATTAAAATTCCCTATTCCATGATGATAAATGCTTAATACTTAGTGATAAATGTGAAATACTTAGATCAAGTAACAGGACTAAATACAGTGTTTAATCTGCTTTTTGGATTTTGCACATGTGAAATTGTTTATTAAATACATATATTCCAGGTAAAAGTTAAAGCTATCCCTATAACATGCTGTGGAGGCCCATAAAGTTATGAGACATTGAGGTTCCCATTGCTACCGCTCACTCTCCCTTTTCTTTCTGATGTTGGTTGGGTTCTGGTGGCAATGAAATTTCTTCCTCAGGGTCGTTATACGGGTCTTGGATTATGAGACAAAGGATAATAATATTACACCTACACACATTACAATTGCTCACTGGTTTAATATATTATATGCAGAAACACGTCTATCCGTAAGAATGACCGAACGAGAACTCCTCCAGAAGCTCGGAATATATCGTTGAGTTTTGGGACATTAATTCTCCCACCCTCGCAGATATAATTCCATCATTGCTTCTGATTCGATCATTCAAAAGGAAGGCGGGTATTACAAATTTAAATCCTCCAATACCCTTCTTACAAATTATATCTTTGAAGCCGCTGGTCCAGCGATATTCTCAGCGATTCCTGAGACCTCGCTAGCCTGCAGCTGCAGAGTGTAATATTACAAACGCTATGCAGCATCCTTTACTCATAATATATGTATATATTTTTGCTTCACTTAACAACTGACACTATGGCGCCACTATTACGTGCCGCAGGGATATAAGTGTCAGTTGTTTATAAGCCGCTTACACCAAGTCTTACTCTTAATATTCCAATTTAAGCACTAGCTTAAATTGGACGACTTCACCATATTTCCTAGACATTTGGCTTATGAATGGCAGTGAAGTTGTTAGCCTTACGCTCTGTCTGCGCTTTACCCCCAGGAAGTTTCCTGGTACTTATTTCTGTTAGAGGCTGAGATGACCCCCCAGGGCCATAGTACAGCTGGAAGGATTATAAATAAGGCCTAAACATGTATTCACCAAATGTTTTCCATTAACCCTTCATTGATGACTTAACTACTATATATCTCAAGGCCTGAGTATAAGTATTGCCTCTGGTACTAGTTCTGCTTCAGTGTAATGTCTACAGAAAGCTCAGATGTCACTATGCAAATGTAACTGTTTTCAAAGTGACAAGAGTGGAAGATACGAGTATATGTCCAGTTTTGAATATTTTTATGTAGGTCAGCATTGATTTTCAACTTTGATATAGAATATACCATTAGGAAGGTCCGAGAAAGTTGGAGAGGACTGGAAATGAATGGTACACAGAATCTGATCTATGCCGATGGTGTTAATATATTGGGTGAAACCATCGTGAAATTATTGTGGGAGATCACTGCTATCAACTTCATACAAAATTTTATGCAATATTATTCTCTCAAGGTTAAGTCCATACACAGATGAAATTATTTGGGATCATCAGTGTGGGTTTCAACGTAACAGATCAACTACAGATCAGATCTTTTGCATTCATCAGATACTGGAGAAGAAAATGGGAGTACAATGAGACAGTACATCAGCTATTCATAGACTTCAAGAAAGCCTATGATTCAGTTAGGGGGGAAGTATTGTACAATATTCTGAAAGAGTTTGGGATACCCGCGAAACTAGTTAAGCTGATTAAAATGTGTTTAAACGAAATGTATGGTAAACTCTGTATAGGTAAACATTTGTCTGATAAATTTCCTATCCAGAATGGTCTAAAACAAGGAGATGCTTTATCGCCATTGCTTTTCAACTTTACTTTAGAACAAGGGTCTCCAAACTACGGCCCGCCGGCCACATGCGGCAATTGAACTAATTTTCTAATGAGTACTGGTAAAAAATACTTGTTCATAGATTTCAAATTCATTAATGAAGATTGTGTTTAAAATATATTGATATTCCATATTATATTAATATTAATATTATTCACAATTCTACTAATTCTGGACCGTATATTGCGCGGTATTTCTTCGTACTTGTTCGGCCTTGATCGGCAGTGTCACTTCGTGGCAATGTAGGTAGCGCGAGCAGTTCGTTACTAGCCGTCTTGTGCACAAGACTTCTTGCAGTGGTGCAGTGTAATTGTAACAGATCATCATCACCTCAATTTAATCAGATTTTAAGAATGCAAAAAGAGTTCCATCNNTCCAAGCGAGCGAAGACAGTACATGCCTTAGACCGCTCGGCTGCCGTGACCGGCAAAACCCATATACCTAGAGTTATTAATTTCTCATTTTATCCGGCCCGTTGAAAGTGCTGAATTACCTAATGTGACCCGCGTTTCGAAAGGTTTGGAGACCCCTGCTTTAGAATATGCCATTAGGAAGGTCCAGGAAAACCAGGTGGGACTGAAATTAAATGGGTCACATCAACTCTTGATCTATGCTGATGATGTGAATCTACTGGGTGATGATATAGATACCATTAAAAAAAAAAACACACAAACTTTAACTGATGCTAGTAAGGAGGTTGGTCTAGAAGTGAACGCAGGGAAATCTAAGTATATGTTGCTGTCTCGTCACCAAAATGCAGGGCAAATGGTGACATAAAGATAGGTAACAGATGTTTTGAAAATGTGGCACAGTTCAAATATTTGGGGACAACGGTAACAAATCAAAACCTGTTTGAGTAGGAAATTAAGAGGAGATTGAACTCGGGTGATACTTGCTACCATTCAGTCCAGAATTTTTTGTCTCCTGTCCAAAAACATAAAAATAGAATATACAAAACTATAATTTTGCCTGTGGTTCTGTATGCATATGAAACTTGGTCTCTGACATTAAGGGAGGAACATAGACTGAGGGTGTTTGAGAACAGGGTGTTGAGGTGAATATTTGGACCGAAGAGAGATGAAGTGACAGGAGGTTGGAGAAAACTGCATAATGGAGAGCTTCATAGCTTGTACTCTTCTCCAAATATAATTAGAATGATCAAGTCAAGGAGGATGAGGTGGGCAGGGCATGTGGCACGAATGGGGGAGAAGTGGACTGCATGTAGGATACTGGTGGGAAAACCAGATAGAAAGAGACCACTGGGGAAACAAAGGCATAGGTGGGTGGACAATATTAAAATGGATCTTAGAGAGATAGAATGGGATTGTATGGACTGAGGCCATGTGGCTCAGGATAGGGACCAGTGGAGGGCTCTTGTAGAGACTGTAATGAACCTTCAAGTTGCATAAAATGCTAGGAAGTTCTTGAGTAGTTGCACAGTTGGCGGTTTCTCAAGAAGGGCTCCGCTCCGCTCCGTGAGTGAGTGAGTACTTTTTCTTTGGCTACTCATTTTTCTTTTCAGGATTTGACTGAAATTTGTTGTTTCAATATATTTCTCAATATTCATTTGAAACATTTTCATGGTACCTGTTCTAGTTTTAATTAACATTTTTTTTATTAGCAATATGCAGTTAAATGCAAATGGTTTATGAAAAATAAA